CTGAAAACATAAATTAATTTTTTTTAGGCCAAACATTTTTTTTTTTTTTTTTTTTGGTGCAATTTAAATTTTAACAGAAATAATAAAAGGCCCTTTCGGTTTTACTTACATTTTGTGTACTTAAAATGGCCATTCAGGCAGCTATCGAGCTGTCGTTAAATTTTTTGAATGCTCACTAAGTGATGATCTCCTTAGGGTTTCCTAACATAACCCCTGGGATCAAAAGTCTAAACTTGACACCATATGCCTTCGACAAAGATAAGGTTTACTTAGTATACTGGGCATTTAAAAAAAAAAAAGTATAGTTTAATAGATGGGTGATAGGGAAGCTGTCACTTAATCGGAATTTGAATTTAATTTTCTATTAAGTAAACGGCTAGCTCTCCTGGGTCCTAACTTGTCCTGGGTCCTAACTTCTCCTGGATCCCACTTTCTCTTGGATCGTAACTTTAACTGGGTCCTTACTTCACCTGAGTCCTAACTTCTCCTGGACCCTTACTTCTCCTAGGTCCTAACTTCTCCTGGACCCTTACTTCTCCTGGGTCCTAACTTCTTCTGGGTCCTAACTTCTCCTGGACCCTTACTTCTCCTGGGCCCTAACTTCTCCTGGGTCCTAACGTCTCCTGGGTCCTAACTTCAACTGGGTCCTTACTTCACCTGAGTTATAACTTCTCCTGGATCCTAACTTCACCAGAGTCCTAACTTTAACTGGGTCCTTACTTCACCTGAGTCCTAACTTCTCCTGGGTCCTAACTTCACCTGAGTCCTAACTTCAACTGGGTCCTTACTTCACCTGAGTCGTAACTTCTCTTGGGTCCTAACTTCAACTGGGTCCTTACTTCACGTGAGTCGTAACTTCTCCTGGATCCTAACTTCACCAGAGTCCAAACTTTAACTGGGTCCTTACTTCACCTGAGTCCTAACTTCTCCTGGGTCCTATTTTCACCTGAGACCTAACTTTTCTTGTGTCCTAATTTCTCCTGTGTCCTAAATTCTCCTGGGTCCTAACTTCAACTGGTCCTAACTTCTCCTGGGTCCTAAATTCTCCTGCGTCCTAACTTCAACTGGGTCCTAACTTCTCCTGGGTCCTTACTTCTCCTGAGTCCTAACTTCTCCTGGGTCCTAACTTCTACTGGGTCCTTACCTCTTTATGGGTCCTAAATTCTCCTGGGCTTTTTTTTAAAGGTGATTGAACTGGTCAGAATAAAAAAGACTACAAAAACTATCCAATATCTCATAATAATGAGTAATATCAGAATTTAGCCTATTGGAGTTCCAATATCTCATAATAATGAGTAGTATCAGAATTTAGCCAATTGGAGTTCCAATATCTCATAATAATGAGTAATATCAGAATTTAGCCAATTGGAGTTCCAATATCTCATAATAATGAGTAATATCAGAATTTAGCCACTTAGAGTTCCAATATCTCATAATAATGAGTAGTATCAGAATTTAGCCAATTGGATTTCCAATATCCCATAATAATGAGTAGTATCAGAATTTAGCCAATTGGTATTCCAATATCCCAAAATAATGAGTAGCATCAGAAATTAGCCAAATGGAGCTCCAATAATATCTCCTAATAATGGGTTGTAATTGAAAGTAAAAGTTCTTCAACATGACCCGGATTTAACAGAAATGTTCGACTAATCTCCCCCGCTCTTCACCATTGTTTCCCCCCCCCAACCCAACCCAACCCCCCCCCCCCCAAACACTGCAGCTCTGATGACGGAGTCGACAATTTCTGCCAGTGCCAGGCCTTGACCCAAGTGACCCACATTAGCTACAGCCCTTGGCTTTAATCGAGGTCAAAACGCGCCAGTATGCGACCAGTTGTAAATCTCTCTCTCTCTCTCCCAGTCTCTCTATCTCTGTCTCTCCCCTCCCCTCTTTGCACTTCAACTGTTCTTTTATTTATTGTACTGAATGTTTAGTCGTGCTGTGAGGGTGAGGTTAAGGGGGGGGGGTATTGATGTGTGGGTTGGGGGTGGGGGTGTTGATTTGTTTTATTCACCCCTTCATCGTGACCACTGTATGATCAGGGAATACTGCCGCGCAAAAAAACAAAATCGAAGTGAAATAAATACTTCTGTTCACTTCCTTTATCGGTCATTATAGAATCGGCCATCCCCACCCCCCCCCCCCCCCCCCCCCCCCCCCCCCCCCCCCCCCCCCCCCCCCCCCCCCCCCACCTCCC